TGATGTAGGAACCTAGAGAAGTCCTGTTCCGCAACGGACAGAGCACCAGTCCCGCTGCCCTTACTATGGTATTGAAAGTTACTACATTCATTAAACCAGGGCTTGCGACGAATGTAGACTCCCATCATATCCTCAACATATGCTGGTCGAGTTTTATCTATGCGAAGATAATCCATGACCTGCTCCGTGTCTCTGTGAACCAAAAGGACAATTCCACCAGACTTATGGAAATTGATCAAGAGCTCACGTGCCTCAGGCATCTCGACGACTCCACCACCACAAGCAAACACATTCTTCTCTGACTGGTCTTTCAAGCAATGCTTTAGAAGGTCTAATTCAGCAGCTCTGAAGAAATCCCAACCCTTCGATCTGACCATGTCAGGTATTGGCATTCCCGAGATGCGTTCCAATTCTACATCAAGATCCTTGTAAGGTCGACCAAGAATCTTCGCAGCCCAGGCACCAGCGGTAGTTTTTCCAGCTCCGCGCATGCCAATAATGAAGATAGACTTGTCTGGAAGGGCTGGAATTCCACTCTTTTTGCTATGCGCAGCTTTAACTTCCTTGCCAGCAAGTCCTACTTGGAATGACTGCGAAAGGATGTCCCACCATCCTGGCCAGGTCTTGCCAACACATTCACGCTCTTCAATGAGAACCGGTTGGGTTGCAGCGACAGACAACACACTGAAACTCATTGCAACACGGTGATCATCATAAGAGTGAATGCCTTGAACTGGATGCTTCAACTCGTTTATAGGTAGGCCATCAACCTCAATTCCATCTTCGAGCTCACGACATGTGACGCCGAACTTTGCAAGTTCATCTTTCATGGCTTTGATTCGATTGCATTCTTTAACACGCTGGTTAGCAATCCCCCTTATTCTAGTTGTACCCTTTGCCACTGCGCCTAGTACTGAAGCGGTCAAGAAAGCGTCTGTCATTGGCTCCATATCAACCTCTTTAATAGCTTGAAGTGACCCGATGGGAGGACCAGTCACAGTAGTAGAATAATCAGTCTGTACTACATGACATCCCATTGGTTTCAGAACATCGATAGCGAATCGAGCATCACCTTGAATCGATTTGGATCCAATATTTGGGATCGTGCAAGTCGTTCCAGAGATAGCAGCTACAGCAAGTGGGTAAGTCGCCGAGCTAGCATCACTCTCAACCACATACTCTTCTGGATTTTTGTAGACTCCTTGAGGAATATGATATGTGTGTTCTTCCGTCTGCGATCGGACGACGTGAATACCGAAAGCTGACATCATCGCTGTTGTCATATCAATATAGAGTTGGGAAATTGGCTTCCCACCAACAAGGCGTAGAGTCACCGGATTCTTGGCGTATGGAGCGCACATAAGAAGAGAGGACACATATTGGGACGAGACAGTAGCGGCTAGATTAATGTCTCCTCCAGCAAACCCACCGGAAGCAGCAACATTGACCGGAAGACTGTGTTCATTTTCAAGATATTCGATATCAACACCGTTAGTACGTAATGAGTCAACTAATGGGCCAATAGGTCTGACCTTCATACGTGCATTTCCTGTAAGAACGGTAGACTTTGTTGTGGCTGAAGGCTTGCACAACGAGAGAACGGTTGTGAGGAAACGAGATGCGGTGCCTGCATTTCCAATGTAGAGTTCTGTAGGACTGGCATGCAAATCACCACCTTTACCTTGCACACAAAGAATCTCACCTGCATCTTCCCATGCATATGTAGCACCACCAAGTTTACCAATTGATGTAAGCATGAATTCTACGTCATCCGAATGCAGGAGATTCTTGATGCGACAAGGGCCTGTGCCAAGAGCCGCAAGTACAAGCGCTCTGTTGGAAACACTCTTTGAGCCTGGTGGTGTCACCTCCACCTTCAAAGTCTCGGGCACACCTGGGGTAACTTCTATCGAGTCAGATAAAACGACTCGGATTGCTCGATCCTCCACGACGCTGGCCTTAGGTTCATGTGTTTTACCAATGGCGGAAAGCAAAACAATCTTCTTCTTCTTTCCATCATTCTTCTTGTCAACACCCATCTTCTCTAACAAAACATCGACGGGGCATGGCTTGCCTGCCGTAAGCTTTTGGATGCGCTTGTCTGCAAGAGAAGTGGGGAGGCCATAGCTTGCTATGCATTTGACAAGACGAGCAACTGCTCCTGGTTTCAAAACACCCAGATGTCGAGCCAATTCCGCCTCCTTTACCATTCCAATAGCTACGGCTTCTCCGTGAAGAACCTGCGGTGTCAAGATTGCTTCAAATGCGTGTCCAATTGAATGTCCAAAGTTTAGAATATTTCGTAGTCCACCTTCTCTCTCGTCTGCTGATACAACATCTGCCTTGGTCTTCGCTGAGCCTAGCACTATTCTCTTCAATATGTGCTGGATAGGAGCTAATCTTGTAGAACGTTCGGTATTCTTGGCTCGAATTGTAGTCATAATAAGATTTGCATTATCCTCAAGGGCAGAGAATTCAGCTTCGTCCCAGATTGCGGCAGTTTTGACCACTTCTGCCATGCCATTGATGAATTCGCGAACCGGTAGGGTTTCCAAGAATCGCAAATCTATGTAGATTCTCTTTGGTTGCCAAAAGGCGCCAACCAGATTCTTTCCCAAAGGCGTATCGATTGCGGTCTTTCCACCAATCGAGGAGTCAACCATGGCTAGCAATGTTGTTGGGACTTGCACGAATCGTACACCGCGCATGAAAGTTGCGGCAACATAACCAATCATGTCACCAATGACTCCTCCCCCCAAAGCAATTATAACCGTATCCCTTGTACATTGGTGCGACAACATCCAATCCTCGATCTCGGCCTTTGTTTCTCTGCTCTTAGAATTCTCTCCTGGGGGGATTTCGTAGGTAAGAAGTCGAGGTGTTGAGCTCGACTTGGCAGCAAGCGCCTCGAAGGATTGCTGGAAAGCGGGGACATAGAGGGGTGAGAGATTGGTATCTGTGATGAGAACATAGGTAGATGAGGGGAGGTCTGAGAGCAAATCTGCTGCAACGAAATTGCGCCAGATATCGAAATCAACAATGATATCTTCGTTTCCTAGAATGGCGATCCGCGTGGGATTTTGGGGCGTTGAAGTTCCCATCTTGAGTTGACCTGACCCGACTTCAGACCTCGAAATGTTGTAGTAAAGGATCGTCTTCTCTGTCTTTTTCTCAATGACAGATGTGAGGGTTTATTGACGGGGGAACACTTATATTTGCCAATTACCCATAAGGTCAGCAAAGGCAAAGAGAAATTCACTTAAGATTACTTATTAGCACTTGAAGTAAGAGGGGAAGTATCCAAAAATGAGGGACTCACAGTGAGTGACTCAATGGTTGACTCAATAGTTGACCCGGATCCGAAACTTTTTTTTGGCAGGGATTTCAATCAAAGAGCCGAGATCGCGCTCGATGCAGGTCTCGAGTGTGAATGGGTTATTTGTGAAGATAAAATACGACGTTGATAGAGAGACCTTATGTATTTGTCTTTTCTAGCTACTCATGATATAAATACCTAGGTACTTAGCACTACTTGATTATTACTCTCCGTCGGTGAATAAAAATCAAACAAAGACATATATAATCTATTTGACCTGGTACCCTCTTTTTACTTGTTGTCAATTCTGCTCTGTGCGTGCCTCTGCATCTTCACAATCAATCATTACTAAGCAACACAATCAGCAAGTCTCTCGTCAGCAGCATATCTTCAGACCACAACTCCGTAACCTAACCTAACCTAACCTTTACCTGGCATCTGTCTTACTTTTTGACATCTCCGAGGAAAATGGCTCTGAAATCCTTCGTTATGTAGAAATCGTTTGGAGATGAACTAATTGATCTTCTCCGGTTCATCAACTTTCTCCGGTTCATGAAAACTCCTAGTTTTTCTTGGCTGCCATCGATCCTAGATATGCCGGTGAGCTCAATTGTCAGACTTCCACTAGATATCGAAGAAGAGGAAAGCTAGGTTCACTGGATATTCTCGGGTGAGAAGTACTAAAATGTCAACACGGAATCACTCAAGATCTAATTGTCTTATGGTTGTATTATCTCCCATTCTTAGTCTTGGTACCTTTCAATTCTTGACAAGATGTATCGCATCAAAACTCCTTCAGTCTTTTGTATCTTAGATTCGTTCGACACATCAGGCTCTTGTCACACTTGCTGGTGGGATTTACAGCAATTTTAGGCCTGGCTTCTACGCTAGGACTTGTGAGATGGTGAACATTATAATTTATATCCAACGGGTGAGTTGCCTGTATCTCGGCCTCTTTTCACTCATGCTGTATGGCAGCAAAATACTCTCCTGTTGCGTGCGCCTTCCGGTGTCCTTGAAGCGCTCTTGTAACGAGAGAAGCTCTACACACATTCTTACTTTAGCTGTTAGATACGCTTCGCAAGTTCCCTATATTCTATCCACGGGATTCAAAATGATTGGAGTCTTATGAGCATAATTACGTTCACCTTGAGATGTCTAAATATTTATCCCGCCCTGCAGGTGATCTCTCGACAAAGATCATGGCTGTAGAGGTTATCTTCAGGCTTCAATACCATGGCAATACTTTCCATTTAATCTATACACCATAATCGCTTTCCAAGATGCGTAACAGAATAAGTACCGGGCTCTGTCAATTTGGCTCTAGGCCTTATTCTTAATTACGAATCGCAGCATTCACTTGGCATCACATTTGAGCAGAGTTGTCATTTTCATGAAACAGTAGTGTATTTTGCAAGCAATTTGCAATAAAGTAAACGGGCGTAAACCCTTACTCTCCTGTGCTACTGCCTATACCTTCTTTCATTTCTTTGGTAATAGCCTCCTATCCTTGCATTTTTGTTGATTCAGCGGGGTATATGAAGCCATTGAGAGGGACTTTACTGTGGAGGGGGAGTTGTCATCTCTGGCAGTAACAAGTCGGAAGCGACACTTCTATGGAGACAAAAATGTATGTATTGATATATTAAGCAGCATGATTCTCAGAACCAACTCAATCAAAGATTTATATACTTACATTGAACCTGTATGAATTTTCACCGCCGAGCACTTTTCTCGTTCCAGCCACCTCAAAGACACCACTTGTGTTACTCGGTGCATTTATAATGACGTCCACAACTCCTTCATTCAATGTCCACTTCACGCTCAAGCTTCCATTAAAAGCAGTCACTACCCTGGCGCTGGCAGTCTTGAGCCCCATAGCCAAACCAACGTCCGGATTGATAAGCCAGTTTCTATAGCCATACCCAGTTCGACCATCAGCACGTCTCAATCCCGCGGCCCATTCGGTAAGTAAATATGTAGGTGCTCCACCCCATGGATGTGCAAGACTTGTGAACAAACCAAGTCCCGGGTTGCCTTCAAGATTTACATACTCCCAGCTCGCACCTGTGGATGTTTTTGGATTTGACAACATTGGAGACCAGAGGCTTTCGAGTAAGCTCAAAGCCTTGCTACTTGCATTGTGTGAGATAATCGCTGCAAGCAAAAATCCATTTATATTAGGCGAAATATTTGTGCTGAGATCCGAACTATTGACTTTTGTCGAATCTTTATATCCCGGCCCTAGCTTTAGGGCGTCGAGAGCTTGTAAGGATTGAAGTGCTTGGGTCGTATTTGCTGTGCCTGATGTGATACAGAATCCAATTGCCGCAATAGAATAATCGCCAGGCGAAGCGGCAGAAAGGGAATAAACGCCGATGGTTGGATTCCACAACTGCCTGTTGACCGCGGTGGATATTTTCGTTGCCGCGGTTTGATACTTGGTAGCCGACGCCAAATCATTTAAAGCCATAGCCACTTCCACAAGCTGGCTCAACGCTTGCACAAGGGCACAGGAGACAGCAGAGCCTTGGCTTGGACCAAGGAACGAAGAGAGAAAGACAGGTAGACCAGTATCAGGACTGAGTTGTGCGATCAACCAATCTGCCAGAAGTTGCCAGTTTGACCATGTTTGATGTGCAAATTCAAGGTCATTACTTGACGAAATATAATTAGAGTAGGATATCAATCCAAGAATTTGGTAATCAGCTAGAACAGCACCATAAATTTCAAGACCAGCGGATGCATCACCACCGAAGGCAAATGTCTGCTTGGCGCCAGATGCATTGTAACCAATCGGTGGAGCAAATGGTAAAAGTCCATTTTCTGTTTGCCAGTCTAGAAAGATATTCAAAGTCCCCTTTAAATGGTCACTTCGAGAAGTGGTGACCGGTATTATGCGGCTTGTATGATAAAAGTCGCCTAACCATACTAGGCGATCTCGTTTCGCGCCATCTAGACACGTTGTTTGGAGGTTAGAGTGAACGCCGTACTCAGTCAGTACCAAATCTGTATCAGTCATCATCGTGTTATTATATAAAAGCGACTGATTGAACGTGTCCCGAACGATCACATTCTTGATGTAGCCAACCTGATCTTGCCAGCCACCAAATCCAAAAGTGCCAGCCGTCTGTATTGGTGTTTCACCAACATAATAAGATGACAAAGAAGTATTGAAAATTTCTGCGTCGTCTATATATACCGCAAGGTTGTCTGCAGTATCAAGGATGGTCCGCACCGTATACCAGGTGTTCTCTTTTATGGGAGGTGTATTGAATACATCTAGGCGGTAAGAAGGAAGTGTAGTGACATTGACTAAAGAGTAACCATAGGAGAGAATCAAGGAATTTGGTGGAGTAAGTGTAGTGTTCGTATTGACAAAAGTTGTATTTTTAGGTAGCTCCCCAATTAAGTTCAATTGAAGGCCTAAGGGTGTAGCAATTGGAACCCCAATCGCCCAACCTATCCCGCCTCTTTTGATCATAGTGTTGAACTCCAACGTGTAATTCTGAAACGAAGCGCCTTTAATTGTAAGTCCTGGTTTCATACCCCTTACAAAAGCACCATTCATATCAAACTCCCACATAGAACCCTGAGTTCCGCGATCGATGCAGGCCAATGATGATGCCCTAGCTCCAAGGGCCCAAATATCGTTAAGCATGACATTGTCGGACTCAAACCCACCGGGCAGTGTACTGACATCAATATTCGATACTGACGCAGTAAATCCAATAGTTGAAAACGTTACGGTTCCCGATGTCAAGAGGCTGATTGATTGCCATTTTTGTCCTCCTTGAAGTAGAAATGCTTGGAAAGGTCCAGTCTCATTGAGTTCAAAGGTTTCAACACGATACGTATTCGAAAGACCAATTGCAAAGGGGAAAGGTCCGTCAGAGAAGTTAGTACTGAGACCCTTGAATTCTTCCGAGTATTTGACCTCAATTTGAACTTTCCCACTGATGAATTCTACATCATAGTATGGATAACCTGCGACTTCATGGCCATAATCTAGCGTGGCCACTGGTGTCGATGGAGTAAGCTCAAATTTGGCCCCACTCGATAGGGGTAAGGTTGGTTCAGTCGCCAGTCCTATCCTAAGTGGTTTAGTCACAGAAGTAGACGAACTGTTCATGTGTAAGATTAGCATTTTTCACATTCATTTCGATTGTTAACATGCCTGTGAAGATCTCGGGAATGGGAGGAAAGTCTTGATCCTGTCGCAAGTGCAGCAACTTGAGTTGTCATCAACAACCATGTTGTCAAGTAATGAGCGATACTCGGATTCATGATGACAATATCAACCATAAAACCTGCAAATCAGAATCACTCAATCTCCTGCTCCAACACGGAATGAGTGCGGTCACGTGCTTTTGGGGAGGCGAAGATAATGTGCTGGAGCTTGAAATTATCCTGATATAGGAAACATCAAGCACGTTCTTATACCGATACGAAATCATGTCTGCGATGAAACGGGTGGTTGGGGTTTATTCTCTGCCGATTGTGTGATGTCAGGTTAGCTAAGTGAAATCTAACCATCGTCGGTGTGGGGATACGATACGTGAAAGTGGGTGTGAATGACTAGCAATTACAGAAGGTTTTTTTGGGCCTCGGATGAATTTATCGCGAGTCTATTTGTTCCCAGTGAACGGCGGCATTCGAGAGAAAATGCGGAGAACAGTGGGGTATTCATACGCGTATCGTACTCCTAATAAATTACACGAAGGCTCACGACTGACAGCAAAAGCCAAATACCAACAACCTATACCTCGATCGAAATTTGATATCAAATCAATGAATTGATAATACTTTTTAAAATTTTCAGGAATGGTTGTTCATCGACTATTGATTTTTCCATAAATAATTGGAAAGGATTTTAGATACAACCCTAAATTAAAATGCGATTTTGAAAAAGATTTATATTAAAATATTGTGCTGATTTTGTAGGTGCGGTGTTCGATTTTCTCTGTTGGTTGCGAGGGATTGTACTGTTGAAGCTCCTCGCTTTTAGTGCGAAAAGGACTTGGCTATACTCCACCCGTCCACTACTCAAGGACAAGATCTATGCAATTGTTTACCGTTCCAGCTTCCGAACTCATATCTTCAACCGAATGCCCTGTCCAGACCAACTTAATTAGCGAAACAATAAAGAGAGGGGATGGATGAATGTCATTATAGAGACAAGTCTACTTTCTCCTCCCTGCTCTGTATACTCACGTACATTTCCCAGGCGTGGTTGGTATTCAGAAGTCAAAGGTCAGTTGATGATGCTCGAAAGCGTTGCCTATCTTTTGGCCGACAGGCATTATATCAGGCAGGTCTTTGGCCGGGGTTGGAGAGTACGATGTCTATCTCACAGTGACATCAAATTCTTTTAAGAAGTGTTCATACCAACAGAATAGTTTCCAATAGTCCGAACCGCAGTCTGGCAACCAGAAGCTTTCAATCTCTAGATCTGATTAATCACTCAACATGCATAAAATGGTAGGGATTGTATGTATTTCGAATTTTACACTTTTATCAAATTGTGAAATCCGAGTTTTGATATGGTAGTCCAGACTACTGCGCTGCCCATTCAATCTCGCCTGTTGTTATAATGATTGTAAGAAATGATGAATATATGAGGGAATGATTGCCCAAGTGGCACGTTGTTTTTGACTTCTTGTGAAGTTCGGCCCGAACTATGAATATACAGCAACGATATAACAATGACAAGAATATTATCGGATTGTCAAAAGTGATAAGGTGTGAAAAAGGGCTATATTCATTGAGATTAGGAGATTGCATTCCAGAGTACGAACTACAATTCAAATTTAGACATGTGAAGCTCGAAGGTTCCGAGTGGGATATGGTAAAGTAGAAGTCGTTCCCTTTATGACTATAATTGCAATCATGATGCATGTTAGGTATGTAAAAGTAGACGAGATAATTCAGAGAGTACTTTGATCAAAAATAATTATACAAGGCTTCTGTTCATACTAGTCAAATAATTCTTACTTAACTTGACCCAAAATAATTTAAAAGATCTAATACTAAGCGTATGTTAAAATTATAAGAATGAAGATAGAGTATTTCTATGAATGTTTATTTCTGTATTCATTTTTATTAATGAATTCAGCATTATTTCTGGTTAATCAATTTTGATTGTATAAGTCTGTAAATCTGAATAATAAATCATATAAAGATTAGGGAATATAGTTGAATCTTAGGGCTAGTTTGAATGAACAAATCCGCGCTAAATCCACTGGATATTCCACACTTTTTGAAAACAGATTTTGAATTCATATTTGAATATCAAATTACAGATTCTATTGAATAGTCCGTATTTCAATGAATTTAGTATATTTTGAGATAAAAAAGAAATAAATCACTCTAAAATAATACTAAATAACCCACAATTTTTAATAAATTTATATAAGAAAATAAAAACACGAATTAAAAAAAACAAAGACTAAAAAAATAGGTTTTATTGAATTTATTAAAACAATTTATTCTTTTTATAAACCTTTCTAAATTTTTAAATCTAAAGCTTTAATGTATAAATTTTAAAGTTATAATAAATAAAGCTATTTCTATATTTATTTATTTGATTATTCAAATAATAGCAATATACTGAAAATTCGTATTACTCTATCTAATTTATATATATATTATATATATATTTTACTTCCTTTTATTTTGATAGATTTTATAATAGATTTGATATACAAACTATAAAATTACAATTTATTTTTTAATTTTTTTGGAAATAGATTATTGCTATTATGGAATCTGTAATGGCATAAAGAATGGATTATTTCAGTGGATTCAGTATGGATTTCATATCCAAACTAGCCCTTAAACAATTCTGTATGGTTATTATTCTAGTAGTAAACTATTAAAAAAAAATAAGAATGAATAAAACTTATCGGGAGTCTAATCTATTAACAATAATGTAGATAGTTGAGTATACTATTAAAACTGGTATAAATTTATTTGAATCTTATTTGACTTTTAAATGGTCTAGATCCTACATTTCAAGATAAAATCTATAATTATTGAAAAATGGTATTTGTTGATCCGGAATTGAAATTTACCATAGAATGCTAAAACTTAGAGTTGAAATATTCAATCTGTTAAATCTATTAAATCTGAATTTGAGAATATAGAATCAATGCGTAGATCTTAGATTTAATAAGTGAGAATTTAAATAGTATACAAACAAAAGCATGTTAATTTGAGTGATATCTTAGTAACATTTTGGATATTTAGTACTGTAAGAGTAGTTCATTGACAATAGTATACATAATAAATAGTCTTGAAGCTTGGAAAATCGTTATAACCGCTGATAGAAAGTTAAGATTAATCTTGAAGAATTATTTTCAAGTTTGCTGGGAGGGATATTATATTATTTGAGATTTTATAATCAATAGAAATATTTCTTCATAGGTAATAAATAAATCGAAATCTTAGAAATTTTAGAAATTTAAAAAGTTTGAAAGATCTCAGAAAATTAATAGATGAAACTCAAAACAGAATACTATAATTGTTTCTATATTCTACTTCTTTCTTGCTTATTATTTATTTAAGAATGCCAAGAATGCAATCGAATCTAAAACTTCATTACTCAATCAAATAGAATACAGTTTCCGTAAAAAATTTATGAATCTTCAAACAGATCTTGTGATAAATCCTTAACAAGTTTTCTATTCATTGATAGTATATTATTTGTAACAAAGCTTTTAATTTGTAAAGTAGTTAAATCTCTTTGAAATTCAACTTATAGATCTCTAATTTTGAATTTATCAATCAATTTATTCTTTTATTTGAATTTCATAATTATGTATTCTTTCGTATTGAACTAAACTATTTGAAATGAATTTGATTTTTATTCTATAACATTATCTATTCATTTATTTTCTTTTGATAAAGTCATGTTATTATAATTGTAATAGCTCTGGATATCTGAATAATATACTATAATATGGTAAATTACTCTGATGCCACTAAAACCTCAATAAATTACTCTCATGCCACTAAAATTAATATCTTTTTACTCTTATACCACTTAGATTCTAACCAAAACAAGCTAGATTCTATAGTAGACTCTAATCTTATATATGTAGATTCTATAATTTTATTATAGATTCTATTACAATAGATTCTAATTTTCATTTGTAGATTATAGAGATTCTATTTTTTACAGTAAAGGGGGGGGGAGGACTAATTAGGATTATATAGATACATTTTTCATTCTTTTTGAAAAAGAAGAGAAAGGGAAGAGAGGGTGATAGGGAGTACAGAATCTATAATGAAATCTATAGTAGAAGCGAAGAATCTATGATGATATGATAGAATCTATAATTGTATATATTCATTAAATATTATATTCAAAATACTAGGAATCTATGTATTTACAGATAAAATCTATCATAAAATCTAGATTGTTTTGATTAAAATCTAAATGATATGAAAGTAAAGAGATATCAATTTTAGTGGTATGAAAATAATTTATTAGACGTTTAATGGTGTGAAAGTAATTTACCGATTATAATAAAGAGTTTTCAATAAAGATTTGATTAAAAAACCTTAAGTTTTCAACGAGATTATTATTTATTTTTGATCAAAATATTTATGAATATATTTTCAACTTATTCTTTGTTCGATGATATAATGTAATTGATTTTAAAAGGAATATTATTGTTTCCAGAGTAATCTTGGGGTGCGTTCGGATCACTTCTTTTAAATTATTTCTATTTACTAGACCTAATTTATTTAGTAAATAATGCCCAAAAAGGTCAAATAATGGGTTTATCGAACACTTGGGGTTGTGAACCAAATTATTAGGAATTATTTGATAAATAAATTCGTTTGCCGAACGCATTTATTCATAAATAATTATTACGATTCTTAATAATCCAAAGAAATTAAAATAGCAAATGCTTTCAAGATTGCCATACATTTGTCTTAAAGCAGCTTTTTGAAGCATTACGAATAAATCTTCAACAAATCTTCATTATTATCTACCCCTGTCATTTTTCAACATCACTCAAATATATTCAATACCATTCAAATATACTAGCCTGAATACCCTTGCTGTTTAATATTAGTACAGGTTTCTTTAAATAAATTAAAAAACAAATCCAACGCACCCTTAGGGCTAGTTTGTATATATAAATCCGCGCTGAATCCATTGAATATTCTGTACTTTTTGAAAACGGATTTTGAATTTATATTTAGATATTAAATCACGGATTTTATTGAATAATTTATATTTTAATATATTTTGAAATAAAAAGAAAATAGGTTAT